TATGTCTTTACAACTGCCTGTCATTTTCATGACATTTTCATTATAGCTGAGTCAGATAAAAAACATTTTTATCAATACGTTGCAACTCAGTACTCAGCAACTCAAGACACCTGTGTGGGTGCGTAGGGCCTTTCAAATGTCATATAACACTGAAGGCAGGCGATTGCCCTTCAAACACTGGTAGTAATGTGTTCATCACCACTGATAAGGTAATAATGTTGTGTTACGGTAATAATTGCCAGTGCAGCAGCGCTGGTGAATGCAGAAAAGAGTACATCTGCAGAAACGGGTTCAGACTGACAAATACAGAGAGCGAACACAGGCTAACATCCTAAATCACTCAAAATACACATCAAAGACTCATGCCTACATAGACCTGCTCCTGAGAGGACACACACGCACAGCCAAACGGAGGACACTGGCGCGAATCCTTGATAATGAATAAATCCACAGCAACCAAATGTTGAGGCCAGTTGCCGTGGTTACCAAGGCTGAGGCACGAAGACAAACCCAAGGTGACCGACAGGGCTGTTGATCACCGTGGTAACAGTGGAGCCATGCTGACACACACACACACACACACTGAAGCTGTGGTTGAGCACTTCTAAGTTTCTGTGAACTCTCCTTCATTGCGTTGAAAAATTTGAGGAAGAAGCTCCAACTCTTGGTTCATGCCACCCATAAACACAAACAGACACAGACTGGCTGAGTAACTGATCTCACTACCTCTTTTGTGAAGCATTCAGTGGCTGGCTCCAGTGGTTGAGGCCTGTCTGATGTAATTAGTTTTACTGTGGATGTAATGTTTTTGTCATATGATGCTTGTGTGTACTCACGCAGCTGGTCGAAGTGTGTCTGCAGGCCGTCTGGTCCTGGGACTGAACACACCATACGAGCCTTCTGGAAAGTACTCCACTTGTTGACTAAACTCCTCTGGCCTCCGATGTCATTCTACACACAACATAAAAGAACAAATATCTCGTCTATCTTCAGTCATCACTCATTGTTCTCTCTTGTGCACACACAACCAACTTTAAAGAAATTCAAAGAATGCAAAAACAGATGTTGTTTATTTTTATTTCTAAAAAAATTGCATGTGAATCCCAGAAGGACTAGCCAAATAAAGAATATAAAGTCTAGTATGAAGACTACTACTACTACTACTACTACTAAACTATATTTTCAATGATCATGATACGTAATATTACTTTTATTTTACAGTATGTCACAACTAAAATGCCCTATCAAATAAACACATAATTTTACATACTAACTTTATATTAAATCCTGCAGTAAAATGTGATAGATATATAAGATAAAAAAAAATTCTAAATTTAGTCCAACACATGAACACACAGACCTGCACACATAAGGAGGCAAACACATGAATGCATGTTTACACATATCCACATAAATAGGCACACAGTACAAACATTAGCAGTGTATCACAGTGGACAACACAGTGATAGTGACAAACATAAACAGTCCCCTATACACAGAGTTCAGAAGGGCTATCTATACGAGCCAGCAGGAACATCCAATCACACATAGTTGCTTTTTACGTAAACACACACCTCGGCAGGCACATACACTGACCAGCACGTACGTACTCTACCTGTCCAGGCAAAACACATGTTTATGTAAACTACATGCAGACAGTTTCTGATATGAGGACACGCACACACACACAAACCTGGTCTCTACCTTTCTCTAACGAATGCGCTCCATACCTTGCACACACGTGCCACTCTGGAGTAGAGCACCTTCCCAGCAGCCCCCTCTGCCTCCTGAGCGCGCTCAGTGAAGAACACGTAGACCTTATCATCTTCTGGGTTATCAGTTTCAGACAGCGGCGCTACCCGCACAAACTGGGCATCTGGAGAGAGAGAGAGAGTAAGACAGAGTAAGACAGGTAAATTATAAATCAACTGTAACACAATCCACCTCTGCTGATAGGCACGTAATATGCATGTAGGAGTGTACAAGGAATAGAGATAGAGCAAAGGGACGATGGAGGTACAACTGAGTTTACAAACAGCAGAGAGAGTCAACATGTATCTTGTTGTTATCAGAAGCAGACGTTGACTCACTGGCCTGATAAAACACCAACCGGGTGTGCAGGAGATGGTTATAGAGATGTTGATTTAGAGCAAAAGACATTCAGTTCACTGTCGTTCAGAATATTCAGTTTACAATGCAAGAAGTAAAGAGAAAGAAGGTTCTGAGAAAGTAATGTAGAAACAGTATCGATACGTATTGGAGGAGTAGCTCTTTGATTTATAATTCAAATGTTACTGATATTATTATTATCATTATGGATCATTTGATTGTTAGCAATGTGCCACATGTTTTAGTTCTAACGAGCTATGACTCACAGTTCAAATGGGTGACCATGAACACGTTACAAACAAGGCAATGAAGACAAATCCTGGGTAGCATACTAATTGTATGCAAGGCCATTTTATTTGGTGTGTTCTGAAAGAAGAATGACTCAAGTGAAATTCTTCATCTGCAGATGTACTAAAACTCTGCATAAGCAGAAACTTCTGCTGTGGCATCTGACCATTAAGTAAGTGTTTTACTTTCTTTTGGTTCTCTTTGATGTTTTCTTGCTCTTACCCTGCAGCCAGGTGGAGTCGTACTGCTCAGTGCGGATGACGTGACGGCTGCCGAGACTGCGGAAGAAGGCAGAGTCCCGGCTCATGAAGTCTGAGGTGATCCCAGCATACAGCTCTCCATCTACGCAGAATAACAAAAAAGCTTAGGTGAGACAGAACAGAACAGATTGTCAATCTGAATTTGAGGTTCATTCCTACATATTCTTACAATGGTTCATATGACCTCCAAGTAAAATTTATTATACTCTTGTTGCAGACATACTGTAACTAATCCGCACATTTCTTGTGACAACAAGTTGGTTGTTTTGGTTCATTTTAGGATAGGTTTTGGTCATGGCTACAATGAGTTTTAAGTCATCATACATTATGAGTATATCTAATTCATAAAATATCTTACAAATACATTTGCATTTTAACTTTGCTGCGGGAACAGGATTCCTCTCCACATAATATTTTCTATGTTTAGGTGGCATTGTGGAAGAAAAAATATTAATTATAATATTAACAAAGTAAGTAGTGTGCAGAGGATGTCATACACTGCTGCAACAACAAACCCATATTGTTTTTTAGTTGTTTGTTTGATTCATTTGTCTTTGCGCAGGTAAAACTGGTCATCCACACCTAGCCAAAACCTCTCAGACAAGTTGTAGCTGATCATATGATAACTTAAATTCCTCATTTATTTGAGTTGTGTTTTGAGGAAACAGACGGTCAACTTACCAACAACAGCCGAGGCTGTTTTTTGGAACGGATCGTAGGGACATTTCCCCTTCCCACACTCTGTCTGGCTGTAGGAGAGAGTCTGGTGCTCTGACTGGCAAATAAACCAAAACAGAAACAGATGTCACGCAGACAGAAACAGAGAACATCAGCTGGACAGAAGAAGACAGTCAAGGGAGAACAAGTTGTTTGGGCAGACTGACAAGTTGTTACTCTTTCATTCATTCTTTAATTCATAAATAATTAGTGTCATCCATTAATTCTGTGAATTCAGACTTTTTCAGGCAGCTGAACTAGGCTGCCACCCACACGCACGCACAGACAGAGTGGTTAATTGAGGGTAATCGTGCTAAGTGGAGGGATTTTAAAATGTGTGAAGTCCAGTCTTAAACCAGTCAGCACTACCAGCTCCTCTAAGCACCATGTCTGAACCTCTCTGATCTCACACGGCCTTTCATGGGATTAGCAGTTCTCTCATGCATGAATACACACACACACATGCGTGCACATACATACACACTGATAAATGGTATGCATGCAACCTCAAAAGAATAAAACTGCACAACAAGAATGCACATACCCACACAGACACAAAATCACACACGCAGATACCATACTCCCACACACAACTGGCACAAGGTTAAACCTCACATGCAAGCACGCACACACACAAACACACACACACACACACACACACACACAGACGCCCATAACTGAGGGAATTTAGAATCATTAACCTATTTCTGACAAAACGATAACCCATATGTGTCTAAATTATGAGAAATTACCAACTAGTCAGTGTGGATTTACAAAGGAGACACACTTTAGAATTTACCTTAAATATTTCAAATAAAAAAAATCTACAGTGTCCAGTAGCCCCTATAGTGCGGCCTCAGTGACAAAAGGTACATTGTATATTTTACAGACACATGGCACAGGGTGAATCTTGTTAGATATATGGGCATAGGGGCAGACGCCACACATATGATATTTCAGCCCCGCTGATAGCCTGCGTATAGGGGTTGGGACTGGGATGGTGGGTGGCAGGAAAAACATTGCTTCAGTATTTAAAAAAAACATGTTCAAGTCAACTTTTTTTGCAATTAATCATGTTATATATTTAATATTTGTTTATATATATTCTATTATAGGATTATAGTATGTCTGAAATTAGCTTGCAGGCTAGCTGGCTAAGGAGCTACAGCTGTTTGGATGTGTTGGGGAGAAAAGGCCAGTTATATTTTGTTCACAAATAAATACTATATTCCACTGGGAAATCCTGCACTTATGTTGTATTTGGAGGTGCAGTAGTTAAATCCTTTAATATTGCATGCATTATGTGATACACTGAATAAACTGCTGTAGCCTACTAAATCTGGCACACCTTATTTTTCAAGAGCTACTTGATCTAAGTACCAGAGGTCCTGGTTCAAGTTCATAAGATTAAATTATTGATCTGATATGAATGAAAGATTAACTGGGAGAATGAGAAACTCTCACTGCACTCACAGTACACTGGTGTTACTGAGTAGAGCTTTTTCTTCTATAAAATGATTGGGTATGGACACTGAACTCATGTCAGACAGTATGAGTCTACATGTGTGAATGTAAAGTGGTGCTAAGATTTAAGTATAAATGAAGAAACACAATGCTGTTACTTTTGTACAGTGATCCCCCTTCCACTCACTCACTGTGACAGGCAGTGTGTGTTTGCAGTAATACCTGACGGAAGACGCTGGTAGCTATGAAAGCACATCGGGGATTGAAGGCCCCAGTGCCACAAACGTAGAGGTGAGTCTGATTGAAAGGCTGCAGAACTCGCAGGAAGTTAGCACACTCCAGCTGGATGGAGAGAGAGACACACACACACAGAAAGACAGAGAGAGAGACACCCAATGTGAGACATAATGTAGCATGAATAGTATTTTATAATGTTGTTTTATTAGATATATAAGGTAGGGGTAATTTTATTTTAATTGGTTGTATTTCTAACACCAGGTAACAATATTGAAAACTGAGGAGCCAAGTTAAATTCAACTGCATGTTTCTTATTAGGAACTGAAACTTTGCCCAAACTGTTTTTACCATTTTGCCCTGCACGTGTCGTTTTGTTGTCTGAATAAATCTAGCTAAGCTGAATCTTGATATCCGAGCCAGCATCCGAGCCCTCTTGTTTGTTTGTTCCTAAATGAATGAGAACTTTAGTTGCGCTCTAGATCGTAATCAATTATGCAACTGTCTTGTTTTATTGTTGCAGAGCTTGTTACACAGTTTTTTGGTTTCTTGTGTGGTAGTATATGTTATACTGCAGCTGATATGACCTGTAAGCCACTGATCCATATCTGTGTAGGATGTATGTACTTCCTTCCCTGTGTGACTTTAAAACCTATTACCAGCATTTATGGTAACACACAGTAGTTACTGTGGTACGTGTTGCTTTGCTTATGCAATCTGATGTGTTTGTGTGTGTATCTGTGTATGTGTGTTGAATCACCTCTGGATCTTTCCCAGCCATGAGACATTCCTGGACACGGTCTGGACTGGCAGGCCAGTACAGCTGCAGAAAGTGAGAGAGATAAAGAAAACAAAGAGTGAGAGAAAGAGATTTAAAAAGCGTTTTTTATTGCTCACTCTAAATTTCCGATAAAAGGCTTTTGGCATTTGGCAGGTGCTTTACGAGGAAGCGAGGCAGGGAGAGTCAGCAAAACATGACTAATCTAGATGAAAGAAGGCAGGAGGAGAAGAGGAAGGTTTTAATACCTCTTGTGAGGCAGTTTTAGGGAGGAGAAAATAAAAACCAACTGGCAGCACTGCTGGGTCTTGATGATGAGCCAAACTGTCAGAGCAACAGTGATGGTGGCAACATGACTAATTAATCTACCGTTTGGCTGTGACTACAGAGCCCTTAGCTACAATTACATGTGCACATAACGCAACTACTGCCATTACTTTGAATAAAACAAAAAGATGATCATTCATATTATATCACATACCTGGTTACAGTGCTTGTAAATGGAAACCCTAATCATAAGGTTTGTTGTTAAAGTTGTTCATTATTATTTGTGTGATTGCACCAATTCCAGTGGTGCCAATTGTTTCGTTACAGCAGTAAATCATAGCTGAGGGTGGCGGTATTGGAGACTCCATGGTTAGGATGCTATTTTAGACAACATTTAAGAGCACCCATTGCACTGAAGGGTTGGGGTTGGGGTTTATTTTGTTTCTATTATTATTAAAAGAAGAATGTTTTCTAATTTGTTTTGGTTAGACAGTTTGCCCACACAGAAGCCTACATACATACCTCATGTCAGCCCACAGTCCAGTTCATTGTACTTTATATTTCATTTTCTTTAATTCTTTCTTTCATTGTATGTTGGCTCTTTGTCATGTACATTGCTGCCAAGTAAGAAAATAAATGACACACTGTTCCAAAATAAACATTTTTTCCAACCTCTGTAATGCAGAAATGAGACAAGCAATGGAACCTCTCAAATGTAACTGGCAAAATTGAGGTGTTTCCAACTGTGGCTTAGGGGCAGACATGGAGACATTAATAGATTTAAGTCTTTTGTGATGGCATGAGACAGTGTTTATCTACTTTTTTAAACTGTCTGAGTCACTATGTCTGAATAAAAACCACCACAGGTTGTGTCAGAATCAGGTTACATTTGCTTCAGGCCTGTTTGGGTTTCTTCTTTCTTTTTAATCGATTAGTTCATCCTGTATTCACGTAAGATAATCAACCATGAAAATACTTATTTTTTAATTAGATCATGGATGATGAAATGGCATTGTTTGTGTGCATGTAAACTTAATCAGTGTTTAATATAAGCACTGCATAAACAGGGATTATTCTATTGCTTTCATGTCAAGCCAATACAGCAGGAAATAATAGAGGCATGTCACAGAGACAGACAGACAGAGAGAGAGAGAGAGAGAGAGAGAGGTGAGGGTTAGTTTTAAAGGCAGCTACATGACTAATATAAATATTTCCCTGAGTCAGTCATTCCCTCAGAGACCAGAACGGTGAAGCAGAGATTAAATGGATACGATAAGGGATCGTCCTGCCTTATCTCTACATACCACACAAATTGAAAGATAACTGAAGAAACTGCAGAAACTAAACATTTTGTTTTGGTTCACATTACTTTAAAATCAAAAGTGGCAAAATATCAGCCAAATTAAAGGCCACCTCTCAGCTTTCAAGCCAGATCATTAATAGTGAAAGAAATGAGACACGTGGTCTGTGCATGGATGTTGACCCAGAAAACAACAGAAAACTCTCAAGCTGCTGCGTCCCCCAACCCTACCCCCACCGCCCCCAATTCCAGGTCTCAATTTGCTTCAATCTAGAAAATGTGTCACCAACTATAATTAATGACAAATGATGGCGCTCTCAGGGAAACTATTTCTTCTGGATGTCCAGTAATCGTTCCCTGATGCAGTCATTCCCGCAGAGCCCGCTGCAGAGCTGAGACGATCAGATTAGATTAGACACCACGGTCCCCCTTATCTTGAAATACCACACACTGACAGGAACATGGACCACCACTAAAGGACTTGCACTAGGTAAAGGCTCTGGTTTATGGAAATGTACCCCTCTGTGAGGAGCGTGCTGGTTGTCAGTTTATACAACGTACAAGAATGTGGGTCCTGGCAGGAAAAAAAGGGGAATTACACAAATCAAACAAGGAAGAACTGATGTTAAGAAATGAGAAATTCCTGTCCTTTGGTCGAGAACATCAGTGCTGAAGAGGAAAGAAGAAGGAAAGCAGAAGTAGGGAGAATGAATAAAGAACAAATATGCAACAAAAAGCCACAAACGCACCCTCAATCCCTTGGTGACCCTTTGTGTAATGTGGGTTACCAGCTGCAGACTCACACACAAGGAATGCCTCGAGGGTTTTTGCCCTGATCAAAGACAAGTGTGACTGAACGCAACAGCATCTCGTTCGGCACTCGGCCCTGAGCTGTAATGGACTGAAGGAACTGGTTTACGTGTCCATCTCTCTGTATTGTGCTGTACTTTTATTGAGCCAGTAGGACTGCAAATATGCATATATGTGTTAGGTTTAAAGTTATGAAAAGAAATGAAAAGTAGGAATATCATGGCTGCACTGATAAGAAGCTGTGGATGTCAGTGGCAGAGAAAATAAACAGAAATTTTGAGAATATGGCACTGTGAGTGGTTTTAACACCACAAGGGAAAAAAATGCACACAAGCTGGAACAGTATAAACAGACTATAAATACTGTATGTACAAATATATAAGTTTAGAGCCAGCACAGAGCTATGAGTTATGAGATGACTATGACTATCTATCCTTTTGTTGGCTGACTGCCTGGCTGAGTGGGTGGTTGGCCAGCTTGACTGCTGTCTGTCTGTTTCACTGGCTGTTTGTCTGCTTGCCTACCTGTTTGGCTCTCTGATAACTTGCGTGTAAATCTGACAGATGAGGGTATTGATTTGATCCGGCAAGGCAGAGTTATGAAAAAGCAGCACTGTGGCTGTCCTTGCTGTGACCCTGAACTCAACCAGACTGGCTGGCAAACCATCAACGTGTCTGTCTGGCAGTCTGGATATCATGTTAAAAGGTGCAGCACGAAACCAGATACTTTAATAAACCTGTAACTTATATCTTTTTTTTTAAGTAGCAGATTGTTTTAAAATGATTTACACCTAGATTTTATGTTCCTAAGAAACGAAAAGGTGTTGTGTTTCCTGCAGAAAATCTTGGTTTGGGCTCCTATGAGTATGAATACTGTTTACGCTGATGTTTGATATGTTTTGTTGCACCATTGGTGTACCATTGCAGGGATTTAGTGTGTGTCGACATAAATATTAGCTCAACCTCATTAGGTTGAGTGGAATGTTTGAGGGCGGGAACTTGACCAACTGAATCAAGAGAGGAGCAAAGCTAAGAAATGTATATCATTGATATAACGTGAAAATCCTGGCTTTAAAATGTAATATGTATATATTGAATCCACTACATCAGAGAAGCCAAATTGTACAAGGAAGCACTCACTGGTATAAGAAAATCAATAAATAGGCTACAGAAAACACAGTATTTCATTTACAGGCTGCACACATTCAAAAATATGGAGTGCAGGTGATCCTTTGGCCAAAAATGTCAAATGTAATTTGACTAAAAGCAAATTGCCTCTCCAACACTGACAACACAGAGGCATTTGAGTGGTGGAAGTAGGATTGCAGGAAATGTGCAGAAAATAACTTGTGGCCTGTCTCGAAGCTATTATGTTGCTATCTATTTGTGAGCTTTGGACACAAATTAGGCAACAGAGGAGCTTTTCACCATTTTTAGATCCTACAAATAGCATGTTTTTCAAAGGTTATATCAGAAGATATGGTCATCAGGCCAAATACAGTTGTACCAAACTGGCTGGAAGCAAAGGCAGCCAATTTGGAATGAGGTAGAAAGATGAGACAGTGGAAGATGCTGTAATTGAATCACTAAAACACTGTGTTTCTACAGGAAAAGTGAAGATAAAAAGAGTTTATCAAGGTTCAAAGCAGAGAACATTAGAAACTAAGATATGTCTATTGTTGTAATACAGTAAGGAATTAGAGAAAGATAGGCAGTCCAAGGGGATATTAGTCAGAGGGCTGTGACATTCCTCTTCCTCATATCATCAGTAAGTAGTCCCATCAGAGCCCTGGCCCCTGACACGAGTTATCTGAATCTGCTGTAATCTGACTGTAGTTTATGTGTGTATTTCATGTGTATCTCCATTCATGCAACCATGTGTATGTCTGCCGCATCTTTGTATCATACCTTGCATCGGATGGTATGTGAATGTTTGTGTTCTAACCTTGCGTGGGTTCTGTGTTATGTCATCCAGACTGGTAGACAGCAGGTTATCTTTCATGGCCACGTACAGATGCCTCCCATCCTCGTCAGGCAGCAGGGAATGCAGGTCTCCGGCCACTAGGGGCAGCGTCAGCAGGCGGCCGTTCTGAATCAGCTCTGACAAGGGGGGAAAAGAAGGTGACGGGACATGAGGGATTTAAATCAGTTTTGAAAATGTGCAAAAAATATGTGGAGGTAATATACAAGGAATGAACCTGAAATTGGCAAACAGGCAAAATGGCTAGGTTGAAATAAATATGACATGCTGGCAGCAGTGCGCATACACTAAGCTAGTAAAACTTTCACACAGTCACGGCATATTTCATAATCATTTAAAGGTTTATGGTAGGTTAAAGTAACTCTCCCCTAACCCTCCATAGAGGGGAAAGTAGATTAGAGTTTTATAGTTCTCATGGGAAAATTTGGAACAATAAGGAACAAAAACATAAAATAATAAGAAAGACACTCAATATCCATCTGTTTAAGAGTTTGTGAGGCTAGTTTTTTTCAACAGACAGACAATCAGATAAACTGACATACTGGACAAAGACAGAAACTTTCCCACACCTACAGTATCTATCACACACGCAATTGTCAGTTGTTTGTCTTACAGCTTCATATCTCTTATCACACTGGACATACGGGTCAAACAAATAATCTGTAACATATCTTTTGTGAATAAACAAACACAGACACACACACTTACATACAGACCCACTACACCTGAACTGCATCTCCAGACAGATTGGATGATAGCGAGCGATTCTGAAAGCACGGATAACGAGCGAGCAGATGAAATGTTTTTTAGATGATTGCACTGTTGCACCATGTAAACTATGAGAACTATGAGAACATCGCACGTCCGTCTGTCTCGTGTTAACTTTCATATTTTAACTGCCAAGTGTTCTTCAGTGGATTGGACTTGGCATCTGCTCGCAAAGCTAAAAGCATAAACATATAGGCTTTAAAGCAGCACCAGGCATGGCTTCACACATTGGCAGCTCTAAATAGCAGTGAAAGGCAGAAAGAGCTTATAAAGAAAACTGTTTGAACTTCAAAACCCAGAAAATTGGGCCCATAATGTTAGTAAACTGCACACAGTTTACTGTTGTTTAGCAACCTGGCCATTCTGCCATGCTTCAAATGATACCAAAGGGACGAGAGGCTTAAGAGTAAAACTTCCAATCTAAACCAGACCCTAAGGAGAAATGGGATGATAATACAACTTGTAATTAACATAAATTGTTGCCCAGTATAGCTTTAGCACACAATATTGGTTCACTCAGGAGATGATTTAAAGGAGATATAAAGGATCTTTCACGGTGGGAGCAAACTCAGCTCGCTGTTATTAAAGGAGAGATAATGTATAGTTTTGGTGGTTGGCATTCATGTGTGGCTTCTTCCTTTGCAGTGACGGATAACCCCTCTCAAACACACAGTTTCTTCAAGCAGCTGAATCTGAACTGACACAAAGAGCATACAGAAAATGATTTGGTCAATATTCCTTACAGCACCCCAAGGGCGTTAACTTGCAGCATGGGCAGCTTTAGTGAGAATCTATCATTCAAACCCAGCAGCTCCCCACTGAAATATACAGGGTGTTGACATTAAGTATGTATGCAACATTTTCTACCAATGTCAACCAAGCTAGAAAGCTAACTAATTTGTTTTTGTGTTTGTACAGACATGGCTGTTGATGTATCTGTCTCCATCAGATTTCAGTGCAATCTGATAACGTTAAAACCTGTTGAACTTCTTTCTGTTTTGCCAATCTGAGTTATTCTCAAGTTTGATTTAGATGGAAATGAAAAAGATATTGTAATTAGCCAACACTATCCTGACTTATCAAAGGGTTACAAAACACAAAGACACAACTTCTTCTTACAGTGCCTTTGCTTTGCCCACTAGATTTACAGCCCAACAAACAGAAATCTATCCATCAAAACCAAAGTATTTTTGCTGACACATCACTGTGGTTGCCCCTTATTCTTTAAATTTTGCCCAAACAGCCTTGCCTCTCCAAACACGTGGCAATTATCTAAACTAGAGCTCACTGGAGCAGATGTGGGATCTAAGGATGTGTGATGTGATGAATGAATACCTTCAACACTCTGCTGTATCTGTTCTTTTTATGCCAAGTATCATGTTAGTTGGCATGTGGGTTTAATAGAAAAAATTACCATAAAATGATGACAAACTGAATATGAAATACAAGGATAGATGAAGAGATGGCAAGAGGCAGACATAAATGGCAAAATAATGTCAACATGAGTTTGTTCAGGTGAGCAAGACCATTCAGACTCTCACGCTAGGTGAGGAGGGGAGCACCCCAAACTCTATATTGTATTGAAGTGACCAGGACAAGTCCTAGCATCTTGTTTGTGAGGGTATTCTGGCCATATCCAACTCGGAGGAGACAATTGGGCAGACCCAGATCAAACTGGAGGGATTTTATATTCCACCTCCATCTGGAAACGCCTTGGCATCTCCCAGGAAGAGCTACTGAGCTCAACCTGCCTGTACCACAACTCAGACTTGGATAAGAGGCAGAAAAGTAAATTCACTTATTAGTCAATTCACATATCCTGTAATATATGGATTTACTGAATTAAAGAAGCATTAACCCTTTCACACCCACCACTCTGGATATTGGTAATGGTCTCTGTTGCATACTCTGCTGTGCATTGTAACAGGATTACTTTGATCACAAGGCGTTTTGTTTGAAATTACCATAATAGCCAAAAAGACAAGTCCATGAAAGGTCTAAATAGTGCCAGTGTCATGCCGGCCAAACATTAAATTTACAGGTACCTTAACCTATAATAGTCAGGCAATGCAGGTGCTGCTTGGTTACCCTATTTCAGCTCCACACAGTCCCACAAGTCTGAATATTCTCACTTTAGTAACTACCTCCAGGCTCCAGAAAAAGTGCTGCATTCATGTGTTTTACAGCCTTAAGTTCATACTCATCCACTTCATGTGCTTTTAACTGGTCTGAGCAACAGACAAAGGGAGTGCAGAAAACTCCATCATGCTTAACTACATTTACAGGAACTTGAATCAGATTTATTTGGACCCTATCCAAATTCATCAAAATGTCTAACAAGGTGGGATGACAGGTTTCCACAACTCGGCCCAATTAACAAGCTACATGCTGTGAGACCATGTGACTTTTATTTACGGTTCCTGTTGGCACATAATTGTGTGATTCAAACCGAATATTGCAAGTCCCTTTTTCTTTTGGACCAAAGAAAAATTGGTTTGCGATTACATAAAAAAAATTATTTTTCACTGTGCACATAAACCACAAAGTAAATGTGAGGGAGTAAAATGGCAAAGGTGGATAAAGGCAAAAAAGAGGAGGAGGAGGAAGAGATGGGGGAACAGGAGCAGCAGGGAGAGAAGATGAGAAAAATGACATGGCAAAGTGACAACAAGATGAAAACGGTCTGATGGGTGAAGACAGTTACGAGATGAGAATAGGAAAAATGTCAAAACATGACACAATGATAGACAGATGAGGAGGAAAGGGAAGGGCGGGGGGCTAAAGGCAGAAAGCACAGTGAAAGAAATCCTGATGGAAGAAATTAATAAAAATGGATGGATGATGATGATGAGGATGAGCAGGAAGAGGAAGAATGGGAAAAGACAGATGGGGATTGGGCAGGAAAGGTTGATGAGGGTAGAGGAGAGAGCGCCTGTAAAAAATCTTGTTGCGATGACAGGGTGGGGGGTGATGATGGGCATATTGGTGGATTGAGGAGGAAGTGGAATCAAGTGAGAAAGGAGGATGAAGGAGAAGAGTAGCCGAGAGCGTGCGGGAAAATTGTAGAGTAATAACGAGGAAAAAATGATGGATTGATAGGTGGATTGAGGAGGAGGAGGAGGAGAGGGGTGAGAAAGGAAAAAAAAGAGACAAAAGGCGAGATGAGAGTGAGAGGAATTATTATATCATGACAGGTTTGAAAATGATGATTGGAAGGATGGTGGGTGAGGCGAAAGGCAGGGAAGACAAAGCAACTGTGGCAGAAGAGAGGAGTAGAAAAATGACAAAGAAGAACAATTGAGTAATGGAGAAAAAGGGCTGAGAAATCAGGATGAAGAAGATGAAGAAGTGGAGGAGGAAGAAAGAAAGACAGATGCTGGAGACAGCAATGAGAGGAATCACAACATGCTGACAGTCAGGCGAAAACACGAGAGATGGATGAGCAGAGGAAATGAGAGAAAAAGAGAAGAAGACATGACTCAGTGAAAATGGAGAGATAAGCTAAAACAGAAAACAATAGTCACAGTAGGAAAGGGAAAGTTGTGCAAACTAACGGCAGATAGTAGAAACTTGTACTTAAGCTCAGAGGGGAATCTTGCTTTTTAGCCACTGGGTACTTTGTTAATATTCAGCCAACGGTCAGAGAGGTACGGTTGTTTTGCTTCACACTGATCTTGACTTCATTAATCCCAGTGGGTGAGTCAACAGCACAATGAGTTCAACAGAATCGTGACTTTTCTGTTTGTTCTCTTCAAGGTTTTTCATTTAGTCAGCCTCAGGTTGAAACAATTCAGGGTACAATTTTCTTCCAAACAATTCCTGTGCAGCAGCAGGGCGTCAAATAAGTGGAAAAACTGGACGGTTTACGAAGAAAGGTAAAAACAACTGATATCCAGTAGGATTCATGATTTTGTAAGAATGTTGCCTGAAAATCCTTTTTTCTCTCAGCTTTTTTTTTCATCATTTAACCCGTTTTCTAAAGATTACAAACTCATTTATTCCAATTTTCAAAACATAACAAGGCAATGTCATTTGCTCTTCCTGTTTCACAGGTTAAACTCTTACTTTGAAACTACAACCTAACAACTTCCATTCGAAGGTGAGACGTTTCCACCACTCTCTTCACGGGGGAATCTAACCATTTGTGCCTTGCCCTGCGTATCCAGCACTTCATCTGAATTACAGTGTGTGTGCGCCACAACATCAGCATGACCTCCCCTAATTCAATATAAAGGGAAAAGCTGAGCTTAACTGAATGTGAAATCGCTTCTGCAGTGGAAACACCAGCGACATTCAGCGTCTGTTACCGTCACAAGATCCTATTGGGTCAGACAGGCTGATTCCAGCTCAT